TTCTCGTTTTATAGGCGTTTCAAGCCATTTCTTGTCGCATGTAACAAGCCATTTTGAATTGTCGTTAAGCAACTCCGAAGTCATCTGGATATAATCGTTAAAAAGCAGACAAAACAATCACCTTTGTTGTTTTGAATAAATCGGATTGTAATACAAATACTTAATGACCATACGAAATTTAATAATTTACCAGAGATAGTGAATTTATTATTATTAGTATTAATCAATATATCTGTATCCGGCTATACTATTTCATATGGGCAGACCTCGCGAATGCACAAATCATCGCTCGTTATCATCTCCTTCCAAAGTTTATTTTAGCCATCTAACTCACGAGCGAATCATTTATCCATAACTCAAACCGAGGCGTCGGTGGCTCTCAGATTGGCTCTCCTGTTGATTTTTCTGAATGAAACACGTTATTTCTAATAATTTCTCTGGATGCCAACCCGATTTTGGTTGTTTTGTTTTTGTTTGTTGTATTGTTGTTTTTTTTGTTTTTTGTTTTTGGGTTTTTTAAAATAGAAGTAGATAAACTTTTCTATAGCCTGCCCAATATCTTTCCTCGTTTTCTTGAACAGGACCAGCCGCTCATCCTTTCTTCTTGTTTAGGAAAGTCTTCCCGGATCCATTCCTTTTCTCTGGCCTTAGTAGTAGTGCTGCCGTAAATCTCTTGGGATGTGGGCGGTTTGGGGCAACGTCTCTTCATATTAAGGGTACCAGGTTGGCAGTTTTCTAGTTGCTGTTCCAGAATGGTACTTACAAAACTCTTGCTTCGCGTATTGAGAGGCTGCTCTGATCAACAGTTGCACAATATTGTGATTCTTGCAGTGTCATGTCGTGCATGGGACGGTGTCACTGCATGCACTTCCGGTGGGCAACCCCGAAGCGTTATTATGTTGCAGTTTGTACCAGTTCCTTTCGGCTCATGCCATATTTGATGACCGACTGCTTCTATTACTTTAGGTCTTTTCCTTACCAACTCAAACATGACTATAAACAACCTAAAATATTAACCTAAACCAGCTCAAACCATCGCCTACTCCCTTTAACATTTCCTTCTCAAACATCCGGGATATTTGTACCAAATTCTGAAATGTTGAATCATTCCTCTTTGATAAATCTCCTGATATACTAGCGTTCTGCGAAACTAACCTTACTTAGTTAATCCCTTCCCTCTGAATTCTCAATTCCCGACAACCTTCATCTACATGGAAAGGACTCTAAAATTCAAATGCATGGCCGGAGAGATTATGTCTGCGCTCATACCCCGCTGGCTAGGGAACTCTCCAGGCCATTCGTATATGTGTCTCCGTCTATCTCCCCTCAATTCAGTAAGCTGTCTCTTGTTTCTCTACCGTTCGACTTCTTCTGAAGACTTCTGTGAACACAATAGCATTTCTGATAATATAAACAAGGCCATCTCTTTACATCCGTTTGCAAACATATTCGTTTTCGCTGACTTTAACACCCACCATACCATGTGTATAAAAGACCCTGTAACTGACCTCGCTGGCATTCAAATCCTTAAATGTTCAATTACTCAATACCTCAGGTAAGTGGTTGATTTCCCTACACGTTTTCCCCCAGTAACCCTGACAGTAAAAACTGACTTCTCGATCTCTGTTTTACCGCCGTGCCTCTGTGGTCTCCTGGGTAAAAGCAAGTATCAAACCTTTAACCCCATCAAGAATATACCATACATATAGACACGCGAGAGAGAAGATTCCGCTATGACAGTAAAAAGAGCAAAAAAGACTTGAAAATCAAATCTTATGTGAGACGTGTGAGACAGCTTGTTACTCCAAGATAGAAATGTAGAATGTTAGGGCGGGCGAAGATCATCTTGAATAAATCGGAAAATAATCATGGAATATATATATATTTTTTTTTTTATTCGAGAATTATAACAAAAATATGTCATAAAATTACTACAAAAATAGCCATCTAGTTTCAACACTTCTGGTGTCTTATCAAGTGATGTTGTTGAATATATAATAAACGGTTTTCACCTGATAAGACACCAAAAGTTTTGAAACATAGTGGCTATTTTTCTAGTGATTTCATAACATATTTATATTATAATCATTTTCGAAAAAATAATTATATTTGCTCTGTTCTGTATTGAACAATCTTTTAACAATACTATTTGTTAGTTATTGGAATTTATTCCGTATACACCAATCCTATACTTGGATATATATATATATATATATATATATATATATATATATATATATATATATATATATATGAAGAAAAATCAAAAAACAAAACAAATCCTTAAAATGCGATTATGTTGTTTTAATATGAATGAAATGTCGACGTCTGACGTTTCGGTTTAATAACCTTCTTCAGGACAATATTCATTAAAAATACAATTAACATAATCAATATAACACGACTAAAACGATGGACATAAAAACAAGTCTTATCCAAAACAGATAAATGAAAATTTTAAATGATCAGCTTTCCGTTTGAGCGTGGTCACGTTGTCGTCAAATGGGCGACGCTTTAAAAACGTATTCTTAAAAATATATATATATATATATAAATTGTGATATTTTTTATCAAAATTGTGATATTTTTATCAATTCTAAGTTATTACGGTTCAAATGTTAATCTAAGAAATTGATGAATTTTGCTGTAACAGGATTTGGGCAATTATCGTTTTACTATAGAACTAGATCGATACAACCGTTACTTCTATTGTAACAGATTCTTACCTGGCATTCCCTACGTGTAAAACACCGTTCCGATTCATTTGTCCCTTGATAACTACAACCTTCACGAATTTAAATACATCTTCTTGAATCCAGTTTCTTTTTGTCCTTTCCCCAATCCTGCGTGTTCTCAGAATTCGCTTTCGTTTCCTGCTTCAATCTCTGTAACAACTTACGTTATAGGATCATTACATTGTTTGCGGTGAAAAGATTACACACACACACACACACACACACACACACACATACACATATATATATATATATATATATATATATATATATATATATATATATATATATATATATATATATATATATATATATTGTTTGTTTGTGTTTTGTATATATATATATATATATATATATATACATTATTATATATATGTTTGTGAAATCGATTATATATATTACATTGTTTGCACACACACATACAGATATATATATATATATATATATATATATATATATATATATATATATATATATATATATATATATGTTTATGTGCCTGTGTGTTTGTATATCGATAGCAAATATATCTGCGCCGAAATATTGTGAATAATCTGTAATTTACATGGATTCATTCGACATAAGGATTCATTCGACATAAGGATTCATTCTTTTGCCCGCGGCACTGAGAAATGAAATTATGAAAACAAAAATCATTAAGAAATTCTTTAGGTTCCGTATGTGTCAAAATTGATTTAATAAGACAGCAGTAAATTTTAAATTTTGTCAATCCATTTCTGCGGATATTTTAAAATAAAATATTTCCCCCTGCGCAGTGATATATACAAATCTAACAATATCTATCTATCTATCTATCTATCTATCTATATATATATATATATATATATATATACAGAGAGAGAGAGAGAGAGTAGGGGGATACGAACATACGGTGAGAAATAGAAAAATAGATAATGACTAAACTGAGATAGATAGAAATATAAAGATAGATAATAAACAGATATATATATATATATATATATATATATATATATATATATATATATATATATAATTTCCGGAGTTGTTTTTTCTGTTTTCTTTTTTTTGAATTTGTAGGTCTGATGAATTGGATCGTATTTACAATTCCAATGGAATAAATTATGACCATGGAATATTAGTGTTTAAGCCTTTTTATTATATATTTATATATATATATATATATATATATATATATATATATATATATATATAAAATATATAAAACATTAGGCAGCATATGATTTACATACAAAAATAATCACATAGAATTAATCAGAAGTATTAATGCGATTATTGGCGACATCCATCGCTAGAAAACATAATATATGCATTAAAATCCTGTTCATCCATAGTGCGAGTTTCGATCCTTGACGAAAAACTTGTTGTCTGTAGTTTTTCAGTTTATTTGATGTTAAAATGCTAGTACTTACGGATAGTCTTCTATCCATCATCCATCATATTATGTTTTCTAGCGATGGATGTCGCCAATAATCGCATTAATACTTCTGATTAATTCTATGTGTGATTATTCTTTGTATGTAAATCATATGCTGCCTAATGTTTTATGTTTATTATAAACTATCGATCTGCAGTACATAAAAAATTCCTATAAAAAAATTACTACTATGACATTACACTATATTATTGAACTATATACTTAGTTCATGACATAAAAACTGAATACACTTGTAAAAATAGAATACGTGGATTTAACACATCACAAGAAATATTTAAATAAAATTCTCACTTAAAAAATTTTGAAAAACTTAGCGTTGCGTCTTTGCACGTTCCGAGATCTTACACAACCATCAATAATAGCAGATATTCAAAAAACATCTTTCGGTCGACATACAGGTATATCGTCTCAAGTTTTTGATTTTATAAGGAAAAAAAAACAACACATGCCTGATGATGGATAGAAAACTATCCGTAAGTACTAGCATTTTAACATCAAATAAACTGAAAAAACTACAGACAACAAGTTTTTCGTCAAGGATCAAAACTCGCACTAAGGATGAACAGGATTTTAATGCATATATTATGTTTTCTAGCGATGGATGTCGCCAATAATCGCATTAATACTTCTGATTAATTCTGTGTGTGATTATTCTTATATATATATATATATATATATATATATATATATATATATATATATATATATATATATATATATATATATACAGAGAGAGAGAGAGATATACATACATACATGCAGTCATACATATGTACAGAGATATTGATTAGCGTAGATACATGGATAGTTATATACATACATAAGTGTTAAGTGGCATAAATAGATAGATAGATAGATAGATAGATAGATAGATAGATAGATAGATAGATAGATAGATAGATAAGATGACAGAAATAGCTAGCTAGATTGATAGATAATAAGCTTACTGAGATAGATAGATAATGTTACTGAGATAGATAGATAGAGAGAGATAGATATATATATATATATATAGAGAGAGAGGTAGGGAGAGATAAATTATCCACCGGATCTTCACAGATGATGGCTGCCTAATTACGTTCGTGCTCCAGCACCCACCCCTCACGTGCATGGCAGTCGAACAGAAGAACAGTGTTCTTGCCATGACCTTGATGGATCCACACTGCTGTGCCTGATTTGTGTGCCTCACCACATGCCTTTTTCTGTCCGTAGCTGGTTTTGCATATCTTGTCATACAGCGTGCACCTTGTAACACTTCGTGACTAGAGAATTTCAAGGATAATTTTTTCAATCAGGCAGCTTTTGAAAGATGTATTTACTGACAGAAATCACATGTCCAGCCCTTGATACACTTGTCGAGTCCATGGTTAATATTTAACAGCCTCCACCACTTGGGATGTATGTGGCACATGGCCGAGTTTAGCGTGGGATCTCCGAGCTCGTAAGCTCGGCCAAATATATTCCCGTAGAACCCGCATAAGCGGGTCCGGGTCTGTCTACCTCCCCGGACGAAACTTTGCCCCTTCGGCAAAGCCTCGTCCGGGTTCCTCTCTGCTCACGGCAGAGAGTTCGACAGTTGAACAGGCTAGAGCACTGTCGAGTCCATGGTTATCAACCATTCGAAGTCACCGCTTCAGCCTTTTGTGTCCCAGACGATATTCTTTAAAGAGTTGACACCCGTCTCTTGCTTGACCTCTCCATCCAGTTCTATCTAGGGCCATCTATTGTTGAAAATCAAATGCCAACTTTTTTTAGGTTGTTCTTGATACAGTCCTTTTTCTTTGCCTTGGTTTGCGAAACTCAAGACACCAAAAACAATTATTTTGGCAGTCTAGTATACTTCATTCGAATTATGTGTCCTGTCCATCGCTTTTGGGTAGATTTTGCAAGAGTCTCTATGTTTTGGTAGTTGGCTCTGACTAGGACATAAGTACCATGATTTCTGCTGTCCAATTTGACATTCACTATGCGTCTCAAGCATGTCTTCTGGAAACGCTCAAAAATTTTTATGTTTGCTGAGTTGTGTTCAAGTTTCGGAGGTATATAGAAGAACTGTCAGAACGCAAACTCTATACACACATACCTTGGTATGATTGGTAATGTCACGAGCTGCCTATACTCTCCTTTCGAGCTTTCTGAAGGCCTCACAGGACTTATTGGTGCGTATATATATTTCGGTATGCAGAGATCCACCTTCTGTAAACTTATTCCACGAACAAAAATGCTGGGTTCGATATATGACTCGCCGGCGGCAGGAGTAAACGTTACTTTGGTTTTTGTGTGGCTTATCGTTAAATCCTATGCTGCGCATGAGGATGCAAAACAGCTCATAATATGTTAAATGCTAGCTTCTGTATACGCTAAGAAGTCAGCGTCGTCTGCGTAGAGTAGCTCTCTAATCAAAGCTTGGAAAGATTTTGACTTGGCCATGAACCTTCTCTGATCGAAAACACATCAAGTGGTTCTGAATCTCAAATGGATGTCTTCGTCAGTATTTTGGAAAGCATGCTCAATTAGAGCAGCCAAAAATATAGAGAAAATATGAGAGCAAGGATATCGCCCTGTTTTACGCCATTGTCAATATGGATTTCCCCTGAGAATTGTCCATTGAAATCATGGAAGCAAGGATATCGCCCAGCTTTACGTCATTGTCAATATGGATTTCCCCTGAGAATTGTCCATTGAAAGTGTAGAAGCAAGGATATCGCCCAGCTTTACGTCATTGTCAATATGGATTTCCCCTGAGAATTGTCCATTGAAAGCATAGAAGCAAGGATATCGCCCTGTTTTACGCCATTGTCAATATGGATTTCCCCTGAGAATTGTCCGCCCATTTGAAAGCATAGTCCAAAAGCAAGGATATCGCCCAGTTTTACGTCAATTGGATTTCCCCATAGAATTGTCCATTGAAATGGATTATCCCCATTTACGTCATTGTCAATTGGATTTCCATTGAAATTGAAAGAAGCAAGGATATCGCCCTGTTTTACGTCATTGTCAATATGGATTTCCCCTGAGAATTGTCCATTGAAATCATAGAAGCAAAAATATCGCCCTGATTTACGTCATTGTCAATATGGATTTCCCTGAGAATTGTCCATTGAAAGCATAGAAGCAAGGATATCGCCCAGCATTACAGCTTTACGTCATTGTCAATATGGATTTCCCTGTTTTAGATTGTCAATTGTCCATTGATTGAAATCATAGAAGCAAGGATATCGCCCTGTTTTACGTCATTGTCAATATGGATTTCCCCTGAGAATTGTCCATTGAAAGCATAGAAGCAAGGATATCGCCCAGCTTTACGTCATTGTCAATATGGATTTCCCCTGAGAATTGTCCATTGAAAGCATAGAAGCAAGGATATCGCCCTGTTTTACGCCATTGTCAATATGGATTCCCTCAGAATTGTCCATTGAAATCATGGAAGCAAAGGATATCGCCCAGTTTTACGTCATTGTCAATATGGATTCCCCTGAGAATTGTCCATTGAAAGCATAGAAGCAAGGATATCGCCCAGCTTTACGTCATTGTCAATATGGATTTCCCCTGAGAATTGTCCATTGAAAGCATAGAAGCAAAGATATCGCCCTGATTTACGCCATTGTCAATATGGATTTCCCCTGAGAATTGTCCATTGAAAGCATAGAAGCAAGGATATCGCCCAGCTTTACGTCATTGTCAATATGGATTTCCCCTGAGAATTGTCCATTGAATATCGTCCATTGAAATGGATTTCCCTGAGAATTGTCCATTGAAAGGATATCGCCCTGTTTTACGTCATTGTCAATATGGATTTCCCCTGAGAATTGTCCATTGAAAGCATAGAAGCAAGGATATCGCCCTGTTTTACGCCATTGTCAATATGGATTTCCCCCATTGAAATCATGGAGAATTGTCCATTGAAATGGATTTCCTGAGAATTGTCCAAAAGTGGATATCGCCGTCATTGTCAATATGATTTACGCCATTGAAAGCAATATGGATTTTACCACTGAAAATTGTCTATTGAAAGCATGGGGGCAAGGATATTGTTGTGGTAGGATCCACCTAATTTGCATAGTGGAGTACCGACCATATAAATATGGTTGGTACCGGGAAGAGAGGAGGGGAATCAAGAGATTCAACCAGAGACTCTGTCCGACTGCGACTCAGTCAACACATTCTCCAGGAACGGTCTTACCAGGAATATACAAAAGACTATATGTAAATATAGTGTACACTTTCTTGTTTCAATACATTTTGTTATAAGTACATTTTGTGTTGCATTATTATTCCATGCATTAATCAAGTTTCAACAGATATCGCCCTGTTTTACGCCATTGTCAATATGGATTTCCCCTGAGAATTGTCCATAGAAATCATGGGAGCAAGGATATCGCCCTGCCTTACGCCATTGTTAATATGGATTTCTCCTGAGAATTGTCCATTGAAAGCATGGGAGCAAGGATATTTCCCTGCCTTACGCCATTGTTAATATGGATTCCCCCTGAGCAATGTCCATTGAATGCATGGGAGTAATGATATCGCCCTGCTTTACGCCATTGTCAAAATGGATTTACCCTGAGAATTGTCCATTGAAAGTAACCCGGACTCTCATATTTATGTTTAGCTGCTTGACAATTTCCCCAAAACCTGTTGGACAGGCTAACCAGAGACTCTGTCCGACTGCGACTCAGTCAACACATTCTCCAGGAACGGTCTTATCCAGAGAGCAATCCTTTTGTTATAAGGCATTATTATTCCACAATGTCGCAAGCCTTCGTTTTAAAATCTATTTCCCCTGAAATGCCTTATAGAGGCCCACGCCATTGTTAATGCTCAATGCTTTTTTTCCCATGTCAATATCGTCCAGAATGCATGTGAATTGTCCCTCTTTCGGACCTAAAACCATTGAAAGTGTTCTCATATTTATTTTGGGATTTCCCCAAAACCTGTTGGACAGGCTACCTTTCTGAGTTTATCGTTCAAATATATCCCTTTCCGGGACATATCATAGAGGCCCATGTTCCGATAATGATTTTTTTTTTCATGTCGTGCAGATAGATAGATAGGACCTAAAACCACTCTGTTATTCTGGGATAGTTACAGTTACTTCGTTCAAATATATCCCTTTCCGGGACATATCATATATATATATATATATATATATATATATATATATATATATATATATATATATATATATATATATAGATGATAGATAGATAGATAGATAGAGATTGAGATATATAAAAAAGACGAAGATGATAGATAGATAGAGAGAGAGAGAGAGAGAGAGAGAGATACGAACAGACTGAGATATATAAAAGACGAAGATAGAGAGATAGATAGATAGATAGATATGAAGAGACGAGGATATATATATATATATATATATATATATATATATATATATATATATATAGTATCATAGATAGATAGATACTGAGATATATAAAAAGACGAAGATAGATAGATAGTTAGATACGAACAGAGTGAGATATATAAAAGACGAAGATAGAGAGATAGATAGATAGATAGATATGAAGAGACGAGGATATATATATATATATATATATATATATATATATATATATAGATAGATAGATAGAACAGACTGAGATATATAAAAGACGAGATATATAATAGATAGATAGATAGATAGATAGATAGATAGATAGATAGATAGTGATATAATGGAATATGCGTACACCTGTGTTTTCCCTCATTGAAGTGTGATTGGCTGGTGTCCGTCATAAATACCGACGGATGTGTAGGAGAGTCAGAAGAAAGCCTTAGTCTGAGTGCTAAGTCTATAACGACGCCCACTGGACGACACCATTGATCTACACTTCTTACCTGCGACTTCGACGCGTACCAATCGATTACTGCTACCGTATTCTACTTGGTTATAGTAGCCGAAACCACTTAGCTACTTCGTTAAATTATATCCTTTTCCGGGATATATCACCCTCTTTCCTCATGTGTCCCCGAAACTACAGCTGCTTCTTCCTGGTGTTAAGTATAAGCCTCCTTCTTGTTTGCAACCTCTCTAAGACCTCATCGTTGCTCACACGCTTGGGCCGTGATTTCCTTAGCATCCTTCTGTAGAACCACGTCACTGTCACCTTTGTTTTTGTTTTTGTAACGCCATATCACGGGAAAAAACATTTTTAGTAATGACATACCATAATGAAAAACAATTATTTTTGTAATACCATATCATTAACAAAGTGTTTGTTTCTGTAATGTTATACCATCAAGAAAAACACATTTAATGTAATGTTATACCATCACGGAACACATTTATTTCTGTAGTTTAATACCATCAAGAAAAGGAAAAGAGTTTTAAATAATACCATACCATCAAGAAAATCATTCTTTCTACAACGACTCGATTTTTAAAAAAAATATTTGTTGCTGCAATGACGTACCATAAATAAAATCATTTATTTCTGTAATGCCATACTAACAAAACAAAACATTTCTCTCTGTAGTCATACCTTCAAGGAAAATATTTTTCTGTAATACCATACCATGAAAAAAAACATTCTTTCTACAACGCCATGATTTAAAAAAAAAATATTTTTTTCTACAATGACGTACGATAAATAAAATCATTTATTTCTGTAATGCCATACCATCAAGATAAATATTTCTATCCTTAGTCATACCTTCAAGTAAAAGATTTTTTCGTAATACCATACCATCAAGAAAAGCATTGTTCCTGCAACGCCATGATTTCAAAAAAATATTTTTCTACAGTGACGTACGATGAATAAAAAAAAAACTTATTTCTGTAAAGACATACCATCAAGAAAATATTTCTTTCTGTAATGCTATGAAGAAAAAAACACTTTTACTGTAAGGCTATACCATCACGGAAAACATTTATTTCTGTAATGCCATACCATCAAGAAAAAAACTGATTAGTTCCCCTAGTGATCATACCATCAAGAGAAACAATTCCGAGACGGAGAAAAATCGCATGTTTTCTGCAATAAGTTTGGATCAAGCGAAGTTTTTATTTTGGGTTTTGCAACAGAAACAAGCGCCCCCCCCTTGTCTCCGGAAGATGGAATAGATATACGTAGAATAAAAAGAGAATATCTAAAACGTCTGCACTCAGAAAAGATCTTTTGATTCCAGGTGAGAGTGGGGTCAGCGGGGGGGGGGTGCCACGAGAAAGTTGCTGTTAGACGCTGCGATTAGGATCACAAATATATTTGGTTTTAATAACACAACTTGGAGACGGGAACGAAATCTATCAGTAATAGAAAAAAAAAAAAAGTGTATTGGTTGTTTGTTGTTTGCGGTGGGTGAGATGGGGGTGTCGGCCTAGTATTAAAAGGAATCGGCAACCGAAAGCAAAAAAAAAAAAAAATAAAATAATAATAATAAAAAAAAAAGGAAAAATCTTACGGAACTTTTGGGGAATCACAGATTAAGTAAATTCAGCAAAAAAAAAAAAAAATAACATTAAATAAAATAAAGAAAAATAAAGCCCCCCAAAAAGTAGATATCAAATCTCTACAAAACAAAAAAAACCGTAGAAATGCATGATGGGAAATAAATATGGAGTCCCGAAAATTAATGTAGCAGCGATAAGAACGAATTTGAGAAACGAAATCCTGTAATTTTGCAAACACGCTTAAAGCAGAGAGAAAAACAGAGACATCTCCCTCTCTCACACTTTCTCTATCTCTATTCATTTCTCCATCTGTATATATATATATATATATACAGATGGAGAAATATATATATATATATATATATATATATATATATATATATAGAGAGAGAGAGAGAAAAAAGCTATAAGGTTTGATATGATTGTGTTAAACCAGTTTCACTTCGTCTCATTGAAGTAAAAGATATAATGACACGACATTGCAACAAAAAAGCGTTACTGTTTCTTAGGAATTAGAAAACAAATGTCGAAAAATAGGTAAAATAGAGCCAGATGTTCTATAGTTGGGTCAGGTAACACACACACACACATTAAAAAAAACAAAAAAGAAAACAACGCTTATAAACGCATGTAAACATACAGATGAAAATGCACAGATTCATACAGAAATAAATACTTTTATAAACGATAGAAAATATATACATGAAAGTTGATGGAGACAAAGTGACGAAAGATATAGTATGCATATACACCTTATAGGCATTAGTTAATGTTTGTACCGTGAGGCGTACGCAGGCTCAATATTTAAATACTTATACACATCGACATAAACACGCTCGCACGTCATAATACACTCAAAAATAGTGCAACCAAATCTGATCATATCAAACATGTAATAAATATGTAAAATAATCACATATACATTTCGCATGAAATAGATAGATAGATAGATAAAAAAAATGAGGCTAGACGAGACTGACAGACAGAAGCACACACACACACACATATATATATATATATATATATATATATATATATATATACTTACATAATGAACAAAAGGCGATAGATGAGATTGACAGTTATATATATATATACATATATATATATATAAAGAGAGAGATGACATAGATAGATAGATAGATAGATAGATAAAAGATTGACATATATATATATATATATAAAAGAGAGATGACATAGATAGATAGATAAGATTGACATATATATATATATATATATATATATATATATATATATACAAAGATGACATCGATAGATAGTTGAGATGTACATTCAAATACATAGATAGATAGACAAAGAAAAATGAAAATGATGCTAGACGAGACAGACACACACACACATATATATATATATATATATATATATATATATATATATATATATATATATATACAGACAGACTGATACATAATGAGAAAAAAGACGATAGATGATATATATATATATATATATATATATATATATATAGAGAGAGAGAAAGAGAGAGAAAGACAGGGAGAGAGATGAAAAAAGATATATAGATAGATGTATAGATACATAAATAAATGGATAATGAAAAAAATGATGCTCGATGAGACAAGCACTCACATATAGATAAACACACACACTGATATATATATATATATATATATATATATATATATATTGAGAGAGAGATGACATAGATAGATAGATAGATAGATAGATAGATAGATAGATAGATGTGAACATAGACAGATAGAAACAGACTAAGATTATACTAACAAAGATAGATAGATAGAGGCAGACTAAGATAGATACGAGTAAAGACAGATACGAACATAGATAGATAGATAGATAGATAGATAGATAGATAGATAGATAGATATGCATAATCTGTTTGGTACGAGACACGGATGTTAGACAAATGCGACAACTGTTTTTTTGTTTTTTTTTTTTTTTTTTTTTTTGTTTTGTTTGTTCACATGAAAACCGACTGGAATATTTAATGGGACTGAAAGTGACCGAAAATAGCGTAAACTTTAACTCATGGAAATACAACGAAACGGAAAATGTGCTTAAATTCGTTCAGATTTACCAGACGGGAAAAGCCATTTTGCAACGTCAGCGTGAAGTCGACGCCCCTTTCAGTAAATCAATCGGTAAAAAAAAAAAAAAAAAGGAATCGATGCTTCTATAGTAATATATAACTGATATAGTTAGTAACAAAAATAAGCCGATTACTTACCATAATCTAATCGTTCCTAAAATATTCGCTCACTTTATATGCTTCAAATAATGTTTAAAATAATAATAATAATAATAATCAACGAAAAAAACTGTAAAGAACTAACCGGCCCATGGCGACGAAATACTAAATTATGGTCACCCTACTGACACAAGAAAACATATTTTATCCAAAATTTTTAAGGTTCTAAAAAGGATTATAAAATATAATTTAATAATCAAAAAAATACTTTGCTTTCCTCGTAATAATAACATTCAGATTTTGTAGCTTTGTTTTTATTAAGTTTGGGGTAATTTTAATCATGTATGCTCATTTTTTAGCAAATCTTTGGAGGTACCTAGTTATAACACCTCCCGAATAAAAAGAGGTGTAAAAATTGAGAAGGTGGGAATTTAAGTATTTATGTAGTATAGCAACAGACAAGGGTACGTGTGAGACAATAATCTAAAGACAACAGACAATGTCTTTCAGTAACTGAGCCTGGATTGTATATTGATGCTGCTCAAATACCTGTGTATCCAGAGCAGTTATTACCGAAAGGCAAAAATAAAAGACATTATGAAACGTCCTGGGCATGACGATATATTACATCCGGCAGCACGTCCTCTGATTGCTGGCGTTCCCAGGTCAAACCTGACTCAGGATGGTAGCACCTGTTAGGGTCACTGCTATAGGCAAATAACTAAACTGGGGACAAACACTATGAAAATATATAAATGTTTATAGTAAAAAAATACCAGCAATACATTTTTGAAAACAAATATTAGCAGGAATATATCTGGAAAAAAAAAAACCCTCTTCGCAAAAATATAGCAATGAAACCCGATCTAATTTATATCTAAACTCTGAATGTGGACATGTGTGTTCCTTTAAATGCTGTAAGAATGAAATATACAAATCCAAGATAAATCTAAACTTTCTCGTCGGCATAGTCGTTATGAAACCAACACACACACACACACACACACACATGTATATATATATATATATACGTACATATATATATATATATATATATATATACGTACATATGTATATCTGTATATGTGTACATATGTATGTATAGATATATAGGTATGTACATATATATCTATATATGTACCTGCAAGTTAAATGTAAAATTTCTCGTCAGCATAGTCGCTATGGAACCACCATATGTATGAAATGTTTTTTTTTGTTTTTTTTCAGAGATGCAATCTCCTAAGGGACATCTAAATTATATACAATATTGGCCTTTTGTAAGTTGCTAGTTGACGGGCAAGAATTGATTGCGACAGCACACACACAAACACACACACATGTATTTCCTTGTAAACACTTATTTTATTCATAGCAACCTATCCTAAAAATCTTGTCGTCATTAAATAACCCACTGAGGTGTTGATGTTCCGTAAAGCAAACCAAACCAAACAAAATCAAACCAAACAGTTGAATTGGCTATTTGTAACTGTAACTGCTATGCTCGATGAAATCCTTGAACTTATATGCTCCGTATATTAAGAGAGGATAGACTAGAAATGATGATCCGACTAGTAGTAGAGGATAGACTAGAGATGAAGATCAATTAGACGTCACGCGACTTCCTATTTATGAGTTTCTGCTATGGTCTCGTGATCTACTTAATTCAATAATGAGATCGCCCGTGTTGGCTCACAGGCGATCTATGTTCGAACTCAAGTGTCGGCTGCGACACTTTATTCCTATATGACAATTTGCAGTAAATATTTATTGAGTTATATTTTAGTTTTTCTGTGAAGGTCATGTTTTTTTTTTCTTTGAACACAGTGACTACGTGTGCAACAGATGACTGGCTTATTTGTGGATTAATAAAATATATGACAGATCATATTTTATTCTTTCAATTACAGAGGATTCGGTGAATGCACGGATAAAATTTGCAGGGTTCAGCACCGCCAACAAGATTAAAAACCACTGAGTGTCCTCGGGGAAATAAAGGGCTCAGTTAGAAATGCCAAATACCTGAAGAAGGCCGGAGCGTACAACTGCCGAAACGTCGTCAACACGTAAATAAAGAAGACAACATTCCGAGTAATGTAAATAATGGAAATGAATGCAATACCTCATATCAGAAATATAGACATGCAAACACACACACACACACACTCTCTCTGTCACACACACACACACACACACACACACACACACACATATATATATATATATATATATATATATATATATATATATATATATATATATATATATAAAAAAAAAAAAGAAAGAACAGTAAGATATAAAATCCATTGTTCTTATAGATATTTTTATTTTTACAAAATAGTGCTCAATGTAAATTTACAGAGCATTAATATTATAAATTAATTTTTTTAAATTTATGACTGTGACGGCAAAAATGGTTACTTAATTTCACTGATTTAGTAAACTTTTATTTTATATATAAACCTAGTATTAAAAAAAAAAAAATGTAACCTCATATACATACTTAAACTTCATGTTAAAATAATCCTACATAATATAATGGATTCTAATACATTTTAACAGTTCTTAAAAAGAATATAGTAAAAAAAAAATTAAAAAGAGAATATTTCAAATCGTAGTTAAATAAAAAGTATTAGAAAAAAACAAACAAAAAAAAACGAAAATCTTTAAATTTAAAAAAATGACGTTGAAATTTTTTACCGTTAACAATTTAAAAAAAAACATTCAGACGACATCCATTCAAATGATGTCAGGTTTCATTGTAAAATACACCCTGCCCTTTCCAAATTGTAGCTAATAACTGATACAATGATACTGACATAAGGAAAATCTAGACATCCTTGTTCAATTTAAAAGTAGAATATTCTGTAACCATGGAAACGTGATTTTAGCTGTGTCTTTAAAACCCGGTAATTTTAAAAGTTACTCCAAAATTCGCTTGAAGATGAAATGGAACTAATACTTTTAATTTAATTGCAAAATTAAATTCAGGGTTTTACTTCTATTTTTTTGAAACATGGTTGGAACTGTGTAAAGAAAAAAACATATTTTAAATCAATTAATTTATAATATAAATATATATATATATATATATATATATATATATATATATATAGAGAGAGAGAGAGAGAGAGGGGGGAGAGAGATAGATATATGTCTAAAGACAGCTACATATCTTCCTCAGTCTGTTCATATATGCCTATTTTTGTCACTCCAAATCTACATCAGAAATATAGGCAGATCCTGAAGAATGCTGAAGCGTCCAATGACCGAAACGTCGTGAATGTTGAAATAAGGATAAGGACAACAGTCCGAACAAGTTAAATAATGTAAATAACTACAATACTTCATCTCAAAAATATAGACATATCCTGGGAAGGCCGAAGCGTACAACGGCCGAAACTTTTGAACATGACAATAAAGATAAGGTCAACAGTCCGAACAATGAAAATAATTACAATACTTTATGAGAGAAATATATATATATATATATATATATATATATATATATATATATATATCTTTAGACACATATATATCTGTCTAAAGATAGCTATCTATCTTCGTCAATCTGTTCATAAATTCATATTTTAGACTCGACAAATCTATCTATCTCATTCTGTTAATATCTATCGATCACTGTCTATCCACATGTAGGTAAACCTGCTAATTTCCCAATAGATTTTGAAGACGACCTTCGGTCAGCGGCCTAGTTAGAAAGAAAAAAAAAATCCGATTCTTCGAATACTGTCAAAACTAATCGATTTTCAAGTACGCAGCCAAATTCCAAATCAACTACAACAATAAAACTCCTTCAATTCTAAACCAATCTCGTCAACGCTCACTTCTGAGTGATTTGGGTACAAAAACAAAACGTTTCTCCATCGTCATTTCATACATTTTAACGTGTGTCATTTTTTTTTTTTTGACTCGCATTAAAACATTTGAAATGTTGAAATTTTATAGCGTCGAGTTTCTCAGAAAACTTAGTAGACATTTTGAGAAAAAGCAGAAAAACAAATGAATTTTCTAAACAGTATGTATTTCACGAGTCCATATCTTTTTTTTAAACATACATTTTCTTTCATTTCGATTAGCCTTCGTCATTCACTGATTATATAACATATTGTCAGAATCTGAGACATTATTAACATAAACAGCCGTATACCTGTTCTTTCATTGTTTGCTTTTCAGTCGATCTGTTCTTCTCAAAGTTTTTTCCATAAGTTTTGAGCTGAAATATTGTAATCATACTTATTATAAAACCAAGGTTGTGTGTGTGTGTCTGTTCGTTTGTATATTGGATCGGATTTCCTACATTTTTCAACCGATATCAACAAAACTTCAGAGAACTACGTAAAATTACCTTGCGGTTGTTCTGACAGCGCCAAAAATTGGAAAAACACAATTGTTTTTGCACGAAATCAATTTGAAAACAAGATTAAGAGGCATCGCTGTAGCGGAAATGAAGGGGAACAACTCATATCGAGTTATACTTATTATAAAATCCAGGTTGTTTGTTTGTGTGTGTGTGTGTGTGTGTGTGTGTGTGTGTGTGTGTGTGTGTGTGTGTGTGTGTTGTGTGTGTTGGGATCGGATTTCCTACATTTTTTTGGCAGGTAGTGTTTCTTATTATCTTGCACACTTCTTTTTCTTTTTTTTTTTTACATTCAGAATGCTTTAAAAA